TGTTACACACTGGACTTTTAACTCTTTTAAATGTAACCAAAGTGTTTCCAGCTATCAAATGCAGTTAAGTATCTGTAATATTGTACCAAGTCAAATTAGTTCATAATTTAATAAATCAGTTAATCTGAAAATAAAGAACTGCAAAGAAAGTTGAGTTATTCATAAATATTTTAAATGGTTCTTTAATTAACTGGCCCCTGGCCTCTTGTCATTTTGCAAAAGTGGCCCCTGGGCAAAGCAAGTTTAGTAGCACTGTTCTACAGCACCCAATGTAATCTGAAAATAGTCCCATGCACAGTAACAATTTATACCTGTTTGAGTAAGATTTGATAACACTACAGATTGCAGCTATTTTAGAAACTTACTATGCCCTTAAAAAAACTACATTACACAAAACAGCATTTTATAGACAGGCTTGTGCCACATGGGAAAGTATAGGCCTTTGTCAGATATTTCTGACTTGTCACAGTAGGAAAAGCACGTGTTTCTAATGACATTGACAATGGCTTTGTGTCGCCATGACAGTGTGAAAGTAAGCCAGCATGCACAATAGCAGGACTCTGAATCTGAAGCAGTTAAATGAAATTCAGCCATCATTTATTTGATTATTTACACCTGCGCTTTTCCCACTGTGATGTGTCAAATTGTCTTCAGTGAAAGAGGCAAACCTTTTTTTCCCCTTCTGTTATTACATAACTGTTTCGAACTTTTAGTTAAATTAAATAGTGAAATTAAAAATATATGCCATTTTTCTGGGGATCCACTAGAACGCCCCCATGTTGAGAACCACTGGACAAATGCATTCTTGGTTTTACTAATCACATACAAAGGAGGAGCTAAGGATAAAAAGAAATAGATGATTTAAATTCTTTTTTTTTCAATTTGGACTGTTCAAAATGGGCAGGAATTAAATGAATGAATGAAGATGCCTCTAATATATCACTTAATAAAAGACATTCACGTTGATCCCAAAACACTGAGAAAATGTACCAGGTATCCCCAGTAAGACAGGGGCGACCAAATTGCTATAGTGTCCATATTTAAACATGTAAGTGTCCTGTATTCTTAGTCTGTCACTGATCTACTCTATGTGCTCCAGACAGGCCCATGGTTTGTCTGTGTGTTTATCAAGCATCGACCCTGGAGCTCATTGGAAAGGCCTGGCACAAGGTCAGCTATGAGTCCTCTCACTGTAACACAGAAGCACCCACAGATCCTCCACATATGGGAGCCGGCCTGGAGCTGTGCGCCTGCTTCATGTGCTGAGTAAGTACTGAGAGAGAACAGAGGAGAGGGGCCGAGGCAGGAACCCTTCCTAAAGGACGCAGAGTTCTCCGATCACGGCAGGACGCGGCGTCATCTTTTCTGTCTGTCTCTCAGGTAACAACAGAAAGAGTGGCGATGGAGGTAGATTAAATGATGTTAGCAGGGCTATGGAGACACGAGGGTCTCTGTAAACTGTCTGTGCGGGGCTACGTACACAGGAACTTTAGGAAAACGTGCCAGTCAGCACAGCAGAGACAGCCTCTATGGGGCAGCCATCTTCTGCACTCAGTGTCAATCCTTTCAGTTGATTTATCTGGTATTTGGCATGAAAGGTTATACAAATACGCTGATGATTCAGAAGTAAAGCCGTATCCTGTGTCAGTCCGTTTTCATTTCGAGCTGAGATGTCATTCCAGGCAGAGGACCTCTCTGTGTCTTTCTGACTATACTCACGTGATAGGCAGAACAACTGTATTCTTTTTTAATTCTGGGAACTTGAATTTTTAAAATCCTATTGTTATATATATTAAAAGGTGGCTGGGTATGGTTTAGAAGACACACAGCATAACTGCACTGTCAATGGTTCAATCGATCCAGACCCTCCCCCTTTCCCCTTCCTGTCTGTAGCTCTACTGTAAACTATCCCATAAAGGCAAAACAAAGAACCAAAGAACCACAGGATACACTGTAGGTCCCAGGACACATCTAGACAGGTCTTTCTCTCCAGCTACAGTACAGCTGCCAAATGAAATGACTCTAACACTGAATACAGTTGTTAATTTAATTCAATACATAAATGTTCAAGATAGTGAAAGGATTTTAAATATACCCAGTCACATATGCTCTATAGAGTATATCTCAGTTAACTGTGATCATTAAATCATGTGAGCAGACACTCACTCCTCCACTCCAATCTTCCACGAAGACATGAATATTACCCATCCAAGTTATTATATTTTTTTCATCAGTGTTGAAGATAACAACATGCATATGATCAGGATGTTGACAATAGGCCTTACCAGTTTTTTTTTAGTATGTGAAAAGTGATTTTCTTTATTTGACTGTAGAGCTATATCATTTTCTGCCAATATCATTACTCTTTCATTTATGATTCCTCAAATGCTAAATTTGTTTAACCTCTCATCATCAAACTAAACACACAGCATTCATAAACTGAGAACCAATAACCCAAAGAACAACAACTAATATACAACAAAGGACACAATATGACAGATATGAGGGTTAAATGCCTGTCACAATTCCCTAAAGCTCAAACTGCTTGTATTTCCTGACTCAAACAGGGACAGGCCCAAACCCAAAGATATTCATTCACAATGACATTAAACAGAGAAATCCTTGCATTTGAAAAGCTGGAACCAGAGATTGGTAGGTGTTTTGCTTGAAAAATGACAGTTGCAGATCCATTTTCTGTCAATTGATCATTATGCATTATAGAAACCAGAGCAGAAAACTGTAAATCTAGCAAACCATATTTGGTTCAGATAATGAGTCAAGCATTGGTTTTTTGGATCGGATTTACCTTTTATGCAGTGTCTTGTAATCTGTATTTTGACTTTACAGTACATACTAAAGCAAACTGGCTTTTTTGTTCAATTTCAAATAGATGTAACATTATTGCACTTGCAATGGACTCCAAACCTATATCTGTTTGACAATGTTACATCTCTTACAGTACTAATTAAGCTACAGTATGCTGCTAGATTCTTGCTCGTATACGAGTTTCTGTACTTTTAAAATAACATCTTAGGTGTGCCTATCATGTGTAAAAAAAAACGTAGGGTACTGTTCAACTGGCAATATTCAAACAAACATACGATTCTGCACTACTAAGCCATAGGACGTAGCACTGCTGAGGACACGCATGGATTCAGTGACTAAACCTAGGAACTTAAAGAAAAACTGTCTATGGCAAAGAAATAAATAAAGTAATCTGCTAAAAGCTATCTGCACACACTGATTGGTATGTAGAAGTCATCTTGTAGCTCTTTTGCATCGTGACTTAATTTAGGTGTCTGCTAGCTTAATGGGAGGGTCTAGACTATAGCATGATAAACCTTAAAATACTTTTCACACATGGACAACCGGGATGGCTAACAAGGATTTTCTCATTAGGTTATATACAGTAGTAGAGCTTTTCTTCAAGCACCATGGTTATAATTAGTTACACTGCTATCTTATGAATATTTAATAATACTGTATATACTACAAAAAATGTGTAAAAATCTATACAGTCAAATGAATTTCCTAATGTATTCAATACAAAAATGAATAATTAAAAAACTCGGAATGTCAACAAAACCTCTCAGGATAAAATCAGAGATGTAAATACATTTTAGCAAAGTCAAAATCTGATGAACCTCACTAACACTACGACTACATTATTCAGCTTTTATTTCTTTAAACGTGTGTCTAGGAGTCACTCGTATGTATGTATTTTAGTCTTATCTTTTGTACACTGGTACAGGTAGAGGACTGATGGGAGCCACTCATTTGCTTCTAGATTTCAAGTTTAAGTATCAAATAATGGAAAACATTGCTGACAGAACACAATTGGCATGATAAATCATTGTGAACTGACGTTTGGCCACTGAAATGCATGAAAGGAAATTAGTTATCTGCTCGTTAACCTGCCTTAAGTTTCTAATGAGAAAATAATGATTCAAATATTTATAGAAATGGGGGGATTATAGGGTTTCTGCTGCAAAAATGGTTTCTGTCTGACATTTTTGCTATATGATGCTTGGGGGCTGAATGCAAAAGAGCACTTCATGGTTTAACCACATGACAGGTTTTTTTGCCCAAGATCTCTGAAATCTGAATCAGTTATTATAAACCATTACACATTTACAGTACAGTCAAGGTGATGTTTTATGCAAACTTAACACTCTACTAAGTGCACTTGCATCTCATATTCTCTACATGTCCTCGTCATCAGCAGCCTGACATGTGACAGAGCTAAAAATCTAATTTTTCTGACAGCAGCAATATGTTTGTGACTTAAACGGGCCAAATGTAATGTGCCATTAACAGAATGGAGTCTCATTGACTAATTTGCATCTCAAGAGCCCACCTGAGCTTCACTGAGGCAGAGGGCATGGAGAACATTCGGTGTGGATGGGATGTTGCTCTGTCAGGGTAGCAAAGCATGATGGGAATGCGGGGGCAAAGAAGCGAACCTGAGAATGTTTCCTGACGTGAACCGATCTTATATGTGTTATATGTGTGTTCCTCACACATGCCAATTGTAAATACATAAAAATGAAAGGCATATGCATTCTCCGTGAGTCTGGCCTTCACTGCTGCAAAGCTTCACATGTCCTCTATATGATTCACTGTAACCTCCGTAGCTGAGCAGTGAGATACAGATGGTCTAACCTCTGTGCAAAAAGGGCAGAGAACCACAGGGATCATGCAACCTGTGAATCTGAAAACAACACAGCCACTACAGCAATATAACCTTGAGAATGTAATTCAGGATGTCCCCAAGCCAAGTGATGAAATAAAGGCTGAGTGATGACATCTCTCCCACTTTCACCTATGCAATTTTACTGCCACCACACCCACTATCCACACTGTTTCCTGTCATGTGTCCTCTTTGGCATGGTACCCTCACCCCTCGACTCACCTGCTCTGCCTATCTGACCTCCCCATCCCATCCCACCCTCCCTTCCCATCATCGTGCCCTGGTCACCTCCACTCACCTGTTCTATCTTGGCCAGCCATTCTTTATTGCGGGCCAGTTCCGCCATAAAGGCCTGGTGCTTCAGCCACTTCCTGTGTAGCTTTTGAGCCTCATCCCGCGCCGTGTCTCGGGCCATAAGCATCTTCTCTTCCACCCGCTGTCCCAATCACTCAGCTAGGGGAGACAAAAATAGCCACCATCAGGAGCCCAACGCTCGAGCCGGCCCTTCTTCCCCCCTTTCCCACAGGACGTCCTGCCTGCCTCGACGCAAGAGCCACCCGCTCTGCTCTGCAGGGGCCCGGGTACCTGTGCTGTCACCACCCACCCCAACCCCCACCAGACACCCTTTTCTGGAGAAAAAAAAATCAAGATAAGCACCTCAGCAGCAGTGGAAGCAATGGAAGCACTCAAGCCCTTCCTTTGGGTCGCCCCTGGGTCCTCATGCCCTACCGCTTCATGGGTCTTGCGGTCCTGATGCTGCAGTGCCTGCTAGCCAGTCTCAGAGAAGGCAAAAACAACCAGCGAAATAGAGGAAATGCGCCAATGACAACACTGGCAAAGAATGACACACACATCCAAGATTTCTTGCAGGTTGTGGGTTATCTTCTAGCTCCGAATGTCAAATACAATCCAGCCCTCAGCGATGGTGTAGATGTAGCATAGCCACAGAAGAATCTTTCAGCCGGGGCAAACCTGACCATCCACCACTCGCCAGTCCCGGTCAATCTGTAGTCCTGTCTAATGATGCTGTAGACAGGAGGAGGAGGAAGAGTTGGAGTGGGAGGAGCAGGGTGAATGGGATGCAGAGGCAGTGCAGAGGAGGCCGGATAACATAAGCTATCCGCTCTTAATATGCATCGTTCCCACCGCTGCAAAGATGCACACGCAGGCTGGTGTGAGATAGCACACTATTTTCTCTCCTCAGTTCCCCTTCCTCGTGTCCCCGAACAGCTCAGCCGCGGTTGGTGCATGCTGCTGCAGTCCTTGCCTCTCAGCTATGCTCCTGTGTGTGTGTGTGTGTGTGTGTGCGTGTGTGTGATTGCGTGAGTGTGTGTATGTGTGTGCGAGTGTGTGTGCAATCACAATCAGCACTGCAGTGCCGGAGTAAAGAGAGAGAGAGAGGGAGGGAGGGAGAGGGAGAGAGAGCGAGAAGGAGGGGAGCGAGGGGGGAGGCAGCAAGAGGAGAGGGGGAGAGGGGGAGATGGAGACAGGGAGAGGAAATGGAGAAAGAGGGAGCGCCAGAGCAAAAAAAGAAAGAAGGGGAGAGCAAGTCAAAAGAGGGAAAAGATGGTGTTGGTGGGGGGGCAGTGGAACAGAGAAAGGAAGAAAGAGCCTGCGTCATCCCTCAGTGTCACCAGGGACATTTCTCTGCACTAGAAATGACTGCACTCGGAGCGGGAGCAGGATTTGGGGAGGAGGGGGGAGGTGTCGGTTTAAAACAGCTGAATGAGAGGGAAGGAGGACGCATGCACACATGGTCCACAGTGCAGCTGACTGATTCGGATCACTGTTCGCTCTCCCTCTTTAAGGGGACCTGCATGTGACTCTCCTGCTGCAAATATATCATTTGGGTACACAGGGTGCACACATTTTACGCTGTACTCTGGCTAATGCCGCTCCCTCAGATCTGAATTATAGATAAACGAGACAATTTTATGTTATCAAAAAAAATTTGTTCTGAGTTCAGTTCTAATTTTGAGTCTGCGTTTGTGCTGCAGCATCGAAAACATTTTTTATTTATATACTGTTCTTTAAAAATACCATTTTTTTAAAATCAAATTTAATCATCACAGAATCCAGAGGTGATTAAAGTTTCATGAGGCTGAAGTGAAGCACTACCCTAAACCACCAAGTTTGGTTGTTCAAGCTGGTTGTGAATTTTCTTGTTCTTTTTTACTTTAGTTCAGAATTTAATAGATTGCATTTTCTTGAACTAACAAAACCCACATCTTCGGTTAACAATTAAAATATCAACATATCAACATAACATCACACTAAACACCATTTATTGTATGTGAATTTAATCATCCAGTCACAAAAGGAGGCATTAATCAGGCCACATCAGACCCAATTTGACCAGATTTTTTTTCCGTCTTATCATAATTGAAAATACAGGTCTGTATTAAGTGTGAACCTATCGTGACGTCACCCATTGGTTTGTGGAGCACTGTTTTGAAACCTAGAGTTCAGCATTATGGTTGTCGCCCATGACAGTTAGACGGAGCCAGCGGAGGTGACATACTGCAAGTTGAGCTGCTGTCATTAGCTGCACAGTTTCGACTCATCCATAACAGGAAACAATGGCAGCTCACCTGGTCACACACAATCTCATATTACAGCTAAACAGTAAACTAAAATATGTTCATGAAATGATTTTAGGAGAGAAATAGTCAGTGCAGTAACATAATCTGGATTCATATCTGATCAGCACTGCCTAGTTTAACAGCTTGATCTGAGTTTGGTGCATTGAGCTGGCTGGACTCACTGAGAATGACATGTCAATCACAACGTAGCCACGCCCAAAAGCATATTTTCAGCATATTTTACTCTAAATGGGACCACCATTTACTAAATGAACATGCTGTATGGACGAAGACATTGAACTAGTGACTGAGACCAAAAGCTCAAACTCAAAAGTCACTTAACTCAACAGGAAACTGTTTACTGAGCTAATAAATCAAGTGAGAAGTTGGGTCATTTCTCCATTAGAGTGCTTACTATCAGCTTTTTATTGCAACCAATGCAGCACTCCCTACTGGCCATTACATAGAATGCAGGTTTAAGACACTTTCGTGTCGGCTTCACAGACCCGAAAGCTCTGTCCATTATATATACTGTCAATGGCCTGTACAAACACTGTTTACAAACATTACTCATGTTAACATTTACAGCACTATAAAACATGAATAATTTAGATTAGTTGCCTCAGTGTACTTAAGGGCTGTCAATCAATTTGAGAGGGACTTTAGGTTTTGATTCTATCCTAGTGTAGATTTTACCATTTGTTGCAAGAAGAAGATTTATTGAGTCTGCAAGATCAGACACTACAGTGCTCAGGCTCACATGATTAAATTGACATAGTTTGGATGCAATCCAGGCCCAATACATGTAAGTGATATAGTGAGAAAAAGTATATTAGCTTTGTAAAAATACAGACATAGAAACTAGCTGAGGATGCACCCTGATCCAAAGTAATCAGATGTTCAGAATCCCCTCGCAAAATAATGTTTAAATACCAGGTGGTAACACAGTCTATGATAAACATTAACACCATGATGATGGTAAATGGACTGCACTTATATTGCACCTTTCTAGTCTTCCGACCACTCAAAGCAATTTACACAGGGGCGGCTGTGGCTCAGAGGTAGAGCGGGTTGTCCACTAATCGGAAGGTCCTCTCGCTGCATGCCAAAGTGTCCTTGAGCAAGACACTGAACCCCAAATTCCTCGGTGTATGAGTGTGTATGAATGATTAGTTTCTGTTCTGGTGAGCAGTTGGCACCTTGCATGGCTGCCATCAGTGTATGAATGTGTATGGCATGTGTACAGTCCATTTACCATTAAACTACCTGTCACATTCACCCAATCACACATATTCATACACTACACAGAATCAGGAGCAATTTGGGGCTCAGAATCTTGCTCAAGGACACTTGGGCATGCAGCAGGAGGAGCTGGGGATCGAACACAGTCCCCAGAAACAGATGAGGAATTAGATGATGATCAGATCTGCTGATTATACTAGGGAGCAAAACAAGACTAAGACTAATATTTAGCATGTAATATTTACCATGTTAACCACTCTAGTTTCAGGTACTGGCATGCTAACAGTGACCAATCCAATAACTGATATTTAAGTGGTGGCCTGAGCGAGTTTATCCTGTATCTTGTTTTTGTGTTGTGCATGTAAACACCATATACTAGTTTCAGAAACCTGGATAAGCCCTTATCCCGGTTTTGAGAATCTTATGCTAACTGGAGTACTCTGATACTGACACTAAACCTGTGATACTGTGACCTGTAATCACCTTATCCAGGATTCTGATCATTATATTCCGTGTTCTCTGGTCATCAACTAAAGTTATATAATAGTTAATAAATAAATCAAAGACTATGTAATATGTGTATTATTGCAGATCATATTTTGTACTGACGCTCTTGTTGATCAGGTGGAGAAGCTAAATCCAGCACAGTGGTAAATGCAGAAGAGGTCAGACAGCAGAAGCCAAACTGTTCAATAGAAGTAACTAAGATGTTCAGATGGTTCCTCCAAGCTGACTTAAAATTGATCTAGAACTGTTGCCACAGCGACAACAAGTCCTTTAACCCAAACCTGAAAATGTACCAGCTTATTGACAGTCGACTGGATCAGGACCAAGATATTTTAGACAAAACACTGAGAAATCATTATCATCTGTCGATGTAATTATCACAATTTAATTTAGTTACATATACTTATACATGATACAATTATAATACAACAAAATAGGTTTGTACACTAAGAAAGCACCAATCTCAATGTAGTTTGAGATGCTGTGAGGAAAAGACATAAACTCAACTAGAAGATTCTGACTCCTAAAAGAGCAATGGAGCCAGAACATTCGGCATTACATAAAACATATCAAGTTCATTTTCATAGCAGATTTATGATTATCACTTTAAAGGATTGGTTTGTAAAATTTAGTGGCATCTATCTGTGAAGTTGTAGATAGCAACCAACTGAATATGACTTGCCTTCCAAGCGTTTAGGAGAAACTGCAGTGGCCTCAAAAATCACCAAAAACATGAAAGGCCCAATCTAGAGTCAGTGTTCAGTTTGCCAGTACTGGGCTACAGTAGAAACATGGCAGAGTCTGTAGAAGAGGACTCGCTCCCTCTGTAGATAAAAACAGCTCATTCTAAGCTAACGAAAACACAACGATTCTTTTTACTAATGAAAACATTAAAGGAACATTATATTCTATTTCTGCCAATAGATCCTCCTACATGTTACACACTGGACCTTTAAAGTCTCTTGCATGTGCATTAAGGAGAAGCTCACTAATTATGCACCAACATGACTTGTAGTTTGACCACATTCATTGGTGATATTCAACAGTTTGACAGTGATCAGTGTCGAAACAGTGGAAACACTGTGGAGCACAATGCAGAACTGAGACTTATGGACCACAGTGCATGCTGGGAGGGTTCCCAACACACCTACCTCATGTAAGTGCAATCACTCAGCTCATGCTGCTAGGGTAACAAAAATGACCATCATTTTAAAAATAAACATTTGCTGCATATAACTTGGCTTTGGAATACAAAGTAAAGCAGCCTCAGCACTAGTTCTATGGCTGCTTCTTAGGGAACTGTGTGTGTCAGTGCTACTCAGCGCATTGGTCCTCTCTTTTCCTCTGTGCAATGTCTTTAAAGCATGGCTCTAAAAACAATCATTTTATTTCTACTACATTTCTAAACTTCCTTTTGATTTTTAAAACAACCCTACAAGTATTCCTGCTAGCTGCCACTTGAGGCTGCAATTTCCACTACACCCCACAACAGGAAGAGTGTCGAACATACTAATGCATGTTTGTCCTGATGCACAATAGACAAAAAAATAGAGTAATTCAAAATATAACAGTTTGTCCCTATGGGAGCACGGGTGTTCTCTGCTATGCTTTCATGACAGCAGATCAGCAATTGTTGTGCACAAAGGGACATTTCAGAAAAGGGAGTCACAAAAACATACAAATTCATGCTTTGAGAACTATGACTACCCAGATCAACTTATAGTTTCACTGGCGTTGGAGACAACTTGTCAGTAACCAAAAGTGTTATTGACACTTGCACCAGATAAAATGTCATGGGGTGCAGACCATGGACATCCAGGGAAAATTTAATGAGATTCTGGTCAATAGCTGCTGAACAGACGGACTCACTAATGTTGGGGTCCACCAATAGTACGGCAAGCATTTCCTGATTGCCAACT